CAAAGGATGCTGAGGAGGGGGAGGGGCAGTGGGTGGGATTTGAATAATCTTTCTCAGTGGCTCCCTCCCTTCTTCTCTCTCTCACCCCTCCTTCCCTCCGCCGCCCCCCCCAGTCCCTCCCTCTCCTCATCATTATTTCTCAGGTCTCTCATACTCCTTTGTGAGAGGGACGTGTCAGAGATCAATCATTTCAAGGTTAGATTTGATGAAAGGAATACACCTAGAGGGAGGAGCTACACACACACACAAGGCTATGGACATGTAGAAGTGTGTGATGCTGCTCTGTGTTTTTTTCTTAACAACGTGCTCTTCCCTTATCCTATATCAGTAAGTGTAAGCAAAATGAACTAGAATCAATATATTTGGCTCCAGTTCAACAGAATGGAGAGCTTCAGCCTTAAGATAAAGCACACCGTAGAATCAACGCCTTGGGATTTGTTGTAGTTGTAGAAATGGAGGGCTTGAATCAAACTCTCTTTTAATGGTCACACACACACGTGCACTGCACCGCACACACAGTTACATTCAGTCTCTGCCTTTACCCATCCTAGTATAGGAGCAGTGGGAGAACAGGAGATAAACGGCTCAGTCCAGTGTTTCTGATCTGTTCGGGGGTTAAACCCAACCCTCAGGGACTGATCCAGTGCAGAGGAATGTAAACTGTCAGGGAACATATAACTGTTCCTCAGGTCAACCCAAGAGGACTAGAAAAGACTAGATAGTCAGTGCCCATAAACGTTTACACACTTCTTTTAGGGAGAAGGTCCCACTCAAGTGTCCACCCTGAACAGCTGTGAGGGATCAGCCTCTGCTTACTCCTCAAACTGCAGCACAACAGCAGCTCGCTCTCACACTGCCAGGCTATGTTCTCAAGATTCAAAGAGAACGTTATGAGTTTAAATACAAAGTAGGCATTACAAAGCCATACAAATCTGTCCGTCCACAGAACTGAGATCATATTGTAATATACTGATCAGTGACTGCTATGGTATTCCTTATGGGACTCTAAACATGTGCTCATCTCAAATGATTAGTGATGCCTGCCTTCGGTCACACGGCGCTCAACCTGTTGTTTTAACTGCACTACATTGCCAGTGTCTATTAGAATGTATTTTAAAATAATTGTACTGTTTTTTAAAGCTCTTAATGGATAGGCATCCATGTATCTCACAGAGTCTCGTTCCCTGTCCCTGGACGAGCCCTGAGGTCCTCCTCAGCTTTTTAAATATCCCTAAAGTCCCCCAAAGTAAAATGGCGGAGACCGCTGTCATCCACTACGCTCCCAAACTGTGGAACACCAGGAAATATCAGAGAGGCCAGCTCAGTGGACATTTTTAAACTACAGCTAAAGACACATCTTTTTAGATTAGCTTTAGATGGTCTTTTAGTGTTTATTCTGTACCTACTTTTATATTGTTTTATTTAGTTTATAGGTCTTAAAGGGTTTTACCATATATTATTTATTTAACAGTTTTAATAGCAACATTTCCTTTTACGTTGGTCTTTTAATATTTTAATCGTTTAACCTTTATTAGAATTATGACTTATGTGTTTATTTTTGGTGTACCTATATGTTAACTTTATTTCATAGGGCTTCATATTGTTGCATCGATTAACTTAGTCGAGTCTTATTTTTCTGAGATGAATCATTATTTATTTTATTGTATTTTATTTTTATTATCATACCTTTTACCACCTGTGCCCTGTACCACGAAGCCAGTTCAACAGACCCTGGATATGCTTGAGTTATCTTAACTAACCCTAACAAACGAGATCTCGCTAAACGGTCCTACGGCGCTGGTTATCAACTCGGTAAATCAAGCCAGGGTTTCTCTCTCCAGCTGAGAACGCGTTCACGTGAAAGGGGCGGGGTTAGCTACATTTGACCAATCACAAACAGGGACAAGCTACTGACAGCACAGCATCATACTTCATTAATGAATAGTAAACTATAATATAAGACAAATATGAAGAAGTTAAACTTTAAACATCCATGACTTAAACACTTTATCCAGGATCAAAGCAACATAGTTGCACCTGCAAGGTGAATACAGCTGGTAACAGAACAAGTGTTTGAATAATACTTCTGCATACAGTATGTGACACTGTGAGTGTTGCACGGCCAGATACGGCTCAGCTGACTCAGATAAGGAGATATATGATATATTATGATGTGATATGAATGATAATGGGACACATCGACGTCTGTCGTAATGTTACTTTGATCCGGTTACTTATGTTGTGGCAGATATTTAAAGGTGGGGTAGGTAATTTTGAGAAACCAGAGGCCTGTACTACGAAGCTGGATCAACCTAACCTGGATATGTTTGAGTTAGCCGGTTGGCCTAATCCAAAACATACGCGCTCTCGCTAAACTGTACTACGACGCGGGTTATCAAGTGGATCGCTCAAGCCAGCCGTGTCCTATCTAGTTAGGTGCGCGTTCATATGAAAGGGGTGGTATCTGGAGCATTCGACCAATCACAAACATGGAGAAGCACACTGACAGCGCAGCGTCATACTTCCTGAACTATAATATTAGACAAATATGAAGACGTTAAACTTTAAACATCCATGGCTTAAACACTTTATCCAGGATCAAAGCCACAGAGCTGCACCTGCAAGGTGAATACAGCTGGTAACAGAACAAGTGTTTGAATGCGTACATTAACAGGTTTATGATATCACTGCCCCGTCTAAGACACGATCTGACTTTAATTACATTTGTCTCGAGTGTTTCGACAACTTAATGTGTTGCTTAAAATAATACTTCTGCATACAGTATGTGACACTGTGAGTGTTGCACGGCCAGATACGGCTCAGCTGACTCAGATCAGGAAATATATGATATATTATGATGTGATATGCCGCGGACTGTACTTAATGTTACTTTGATCCGGTTACTTATGTTGTGGCAGATATTTAAGTAAGCTTTCTTAACGCTAATGTTATATTAGTCTGTTCCGGAGCAGGTTATGTTTTCAGCAGAAGTTACCATGGATATCTACCGCGGTAAGAAGTGAACCAGCGTCGTAGGACCGAAAACCCAGAGTTAACCCTGAAGTTACCCCGCTAACCGCAAATCCTGCTTCGTAGTACAGGGCACAGGTCACTGGTGTCTCTTAACCTGTTAAATGTTATATTGTGTTGCTATGCTGCATGTATCTGTACAGTTCTTCACATCTGATCTGAGGGCAATTTCTTGTGGTTTATTTTTAACTTGTGATGTGTGCCATTTTGTAAAGCAATTTGAGCTACATGTGCTGTATGAAAAGTGCTGTATAATAAATAAAGCTTATTATTATTATTATTATTATCATTATCCTCTGCACAATGCTTCCTCCAGGGGCCTGTACTACGAAGCTGGATCAACCTAACCTGGATATGTTTGAGTTAGCCGGTTGGCCTAATCCAAAACATACGCGCTCTCGCTAAACTGTACTACGACGCTGGTTATCAAGTGGATCGCTCAAGCCAGCCGTGTCCTATCTAGTTAGGTGCGCGTTCACATGAAAGGGGTGGTATCTGGAGCATTCGACCAATCACAAACATGGAAAAGCGCACTGACAGCGCAGCGTCATACTTCCTGAATGAAAAGTGAACTTTAATACTAGTCAAAAATGAAGAAGTTAAACTTTAAACATCCATGGCTTAAACACTTTATCCAGGATAAAAGCCACAGAGCTGCACCTGCAAGGTGAATACAGCTGGTAACAGAACAAGTGTTTGAATGCGTACATTAACAGGTTTATGATATCACTGCCCCGTCTAAAACACCATCTGACTTTAATTACATTTAACTCGAGTGTTTCGTCAACTTAATGTGTTGCTTAAAATAATACTTCTGCATACAGTATGTGACACTGTGAGTGTTGCACGGCCAGATACGGCTCAGCTGACTCAGATAAGGAGATATGTGATGCATTATGATGTGATATGCCGCGGACTGTACTTAATGTTACTCTGATCCGGTTACTTATGTTGTGGCAGATATTTGAGTAAGCTTTCTTAACGCTAATGTTATAATAGTCAGACTGCTCTGAAGATGGGAGGTGATATTCTATTAATGTTCACGTTCACACAGTCAGTGATTTTTGCCGGCCGTCTTTCCTGCGACGGCAGTTTTTCTGTATTTCCTTTCTCCTGTAATATGACTTGATCGCTTTAAACTCCGCACACTGAGCTCTGATTGGTCAGCAGGCAGTGCTTTCACTGAGTTGAGCTCTTAGCCTGCAACCTAACCTGGTCCCGACCAGGTTAGCCGCAAAGCATAAATTACCATGGAGATCTAGCCTGCTGAAAAGAGAACCAGCTTCGTAGGACCGGAAAGCCGGAGTTTTCCCTGAATTTAGCCGGCTAAGCAAAAATCCTGCTTCGTAGTATACCCCCCAGCTGGCAGCAGGAGGAAACTCCACACAATCTCATGCTCACTTTGACAGGAAGAGCTAAAGACAGCCACTAGGTGCTTTAGAAGCCCACTCTGTTAACACTGTGTGTGTGTGTGTGTGTGTGTGTGTGTGTGTGTGTGTGTGTGTGTGTGTGTGTGTGTGTGTGTGTGTGTGTGTGTGTGGTGTGTGTGTGTGTGTGTGTGTGTGTGTGTGTGTGTGTGTGTGTGTGTGTGTGTGTGTGTGTGTGTGTGTGTGTGTGTGTGTGTGTGTGTGTGTGTGTGTGTGTGTGTGTGTGTGTGTGTGTGTGTGTGTGTGTGTGTGTGTGTGTGTGTGTGTGTGTGTGTGTGTGTGTGTGTGTGTGTGTGTGTGTGTGTGTGTGTGTGTGTGTGTGTGTGTGTGTGTGTGTGTGTGTGTGTGTGGGTGGACACAGACACAGACACAGACACAGACACAGACACAGACACAGACACAGACACAGACACAGACACAGACACAGACACAGACAGAATGCAGAGGTGCCAACAGTCTTCAGATGGTTTCTCACTACCAACCCAGATAGCTGCACCAAATCCTACCACAAACATTCCCAAGTACACACACACACACCCTTACCAATGCTGTTCAGTCGACTGAGTCTTGCTGAGCCGCTTCTTTGCAGGTGATTCTGGGATGTCTGCTTTGTCAGGCTCTGATTGGCTGCAGGAGCTGTCTTTGCAGCTGTTTGATTGGCGGCCGCTGCCTTGGCTGTATTGTGGTTAATGACTGTTGGGACCTTCAGACCTGTGAAGAGGACACAGACGAGGTCAAAGCCAATGGCAAACGCACACACACACACTCACACACTCACACACCTGTAGCAGTGGTCCTGGCCTGCACAGACTGAGCTCTGCCCCTCAGTGCAGGAGTTTTTGGGGCAGCAGAGGTCAGCGCCTCACTGGCAGTGTTGGTGCTGGTGGAGGCTGCTGGGCTGGGGGGGAGGGGCTTGGCCGGGCTCTGGGTGCCCACAGGAAGTGTGCTTCTGCTGGGCTGCTCCTCTGGCGTGATCACTGTTGGTGCTGGAGCTGCCGGAGAGGCTGAAGGAAAGATGATACAAAATATATAAACAAACAAAGTATGCTTAGATGGAAGTGATTACCTTTAATATTTGACATTGCTTAATTCAACTCAGGACTTAGAGGTTATGTGGCATGCGCTTTAACAGTCGGCTAAAAAGGCCCTTCGGAAGAGCAGAAAAAGAGCATGATTTTGCCAATAATATTTTGAGGATGTTCTGCACTGCTAAAGAAGTTAAACCTGGCCAAGCAAATGATGGTGAACATCTCTAACTGCCACCATCGTGTCCATCATAGACATAGTTGTACCCGCTCCCCTCTGGCAGGAGGCTGCCATCCATCAGGACCAAAACCTCTCGCCACAGGTTCTTACCATCTGCTACCAGCCTCATCAACACACACAGGGTCCTAACCCGCTGACACTGACTTTACCGCCCCATAGAAACTTTGCCTATACATTAATGCACAGCATGGGAACAAATCGTGTACTGCAAATCCTGCACACCCATCTGTATATTTTTGCACATTTCTGTTCAAAGCATGCACTGACTCTCCAATGTCTTTTTGAGATCAGAGAAAACAAAAGCTGTATGTTCCACTGGAACCCATGGTGATCATTTGAAATGCCATGTGAACCTGATGAACACATGTGATGTTCGCTCTCCTGTAGAGTGTTCTAAAGGTGTGTGAAGCTGACCGTTGAGCGGCCCGACCAAGCAAGGAGGCAGAGAGTTCAAATATAACCCGGTGTGGGCATTTATTAAATCATGGGCACATGATTCACAGCCTCAATCTGACTGTTACCCGTGAACACAGTCAGCAGCCACAAGGATCTCACCCACACTACCTATCCACTGACAGGGAAAACAGAGCCTAAATACACACACACTAATCAGGCCAATGAGACACAGGTGGGGGGGGGGGGGGGGAGACAACACAGGGCACCAGGTGAACACAATCACCAGCCACAGACAAAACGGGAGGGGCAACACTTTCAAACTAAACCACATGTGCAATATTACAAGGCCCGAAGCCGTCAGTCCACAGTTACCTTCGTCACAAGGTGTCTGCGTATGTAAATGGTCTGCAAAGGCTCAAATCCTTGTGTTCCCTCAAGAGGGAGTTTCTGATAATAAATCAATAAAAAACATTTAGTCCAGTGCCACTCACAAACCTCATGACTGCATGGTTTCTGTTCGGGCTGATTCTCATAAGGTGATGACACTTATTCACTAAACTAAACACTGGCTGCCACTACGTTTAACACGGACACCAGCCAAACATCTCCACTTTCCCTCAGAACTAATAGTGTGTTTCCATGGTAACCGTCCATTTCCTGACTACTTACAAAAAAGAGGAAAATACGGATAAGAAGAAGGGGAGAAAGGAACATGTTCAGGGGTATCATAGATCAAAATGACTAATGGAATGTCCCACATGTTCCATGAGTGTGTGAGGTTACAGGATGATGGCTGAATGTAGGTTTTATTTTATGCATTCACTTTAGGAATTTGGTATTACATGAGCTTGTGTTCTGTTTAATGCATTTTCATTATATGTTTAAGAATTGTATCATGTTTCATGTGTGTTTATAGTGTGAGTGTTTAGCATGAATTTGAGCTACAAGACACATTTCATTTGGACAATAAAAGTGAAGGTCAATGCAAAGTGTTGGACCAGCAGCATGCTGGTTCTGTGTGATTGTGAGGGAGGCTGGTGTCATAGTCCTTCTGTTCTTTAGCTCCTCTGCAGCTGCTGCTGCACACAGTCACCTTTCATGCACCATGAACAACTCATATAAAACAATAAAGCAGTGAAATGTGACATAAACACATTCAAAGCTCCCTCAGGTTGCTGACCAGATATATATCACTCAGAGGGTCTTCATATGAAGTACAATATTAAAAGATGGTGTGTGTGTGTGTGTGTGTGTGTGTGTGTGTGTGTGTGTGTGTGTGTGTGTGTGTGTGTGTGTGTGTGTGTGTGTGTGTGTGTGTGTGTGTGTGTGTGTGTGTGTGTGTGTGGTGTGTGTGTGTGTGTGTGTGGTGTGTGTGTGTGTGTGTGTGTGTGTGTGTGTGTGTGTGGTGTGTGTGTGTGTGTGTGTGTGTGTGTGTGTGTGTGTGTGTGTGTGTGTGTGTGTGTGTGTGTGTGTGTGTGTGTGTGTGTGTGTGTGTGTGTGTGTGTGTGTGTGTGGTGTGTGTGTGTGTGTGTGTGTGTGTGTGTGTACCTTTGCTTGTGGCTCCACTGATCTCGTGGCCTCCCAGTGAGGAGGAACTGAGGCTTGTGGATAAACCCTTCACAGGAAGTTTTGATGATGCGGGAGGAATTGGTCTTCGGGCCGATGCTGCCAGCTGATTGGCTGTAGGTTTGGAGTTGCAGGATGAGGGACTTGTGACAGTGGAAACAGATGCTCTCTCTGCAGCGGTGCGAGGTTTGGGGATACCTGGGAGACAGTAATATGGAATTAATAATTTGTCAAAATACTAACTGTGAACATAATTATTCGTCTGCAACTGAGAAAAGAAGGGACGCCAGAAGAGAACAGAGGAGAGCTGCTCCTCTGTTAGAGGCAGAAGGTGATCCTGTTACAGCACACACAGCTGACCCATCAGGATATAACAGAGGCCGGTTGTCATACCATGTATAAGCAGACAATTAGCTGCTCTACATCATATTACCAAACCCTAACCCGTAGAATCTCTCTCTGTTGTAATGTAGTATGTTGTTATGATGACAGCAGTGGAGAGTAATCCTGATAGGGAGCACATTTTAAAATCATTGGGAAAATGTCACAGTGTGAATGTTAACAGTGAAGGAAATCATTATTTGATCACCTGCTGATTTTAGTAGATCCACTTACAAAGAAATGAACAGTCTGTAATTGTAATGGTAGGTCTATATAAACAGTGAGAGTAAGAATATCAAAAAGAACATCCGGAAATGTACATCATATAAAACGTAAAAATTGATTTGCATTTAACTGGGGGAAATAAGTATTTGATCCCCTTGCAACCAACAAGAATCCTGGCTCCCACAGACCGGTTAGTGCTCTACCTTTTAAGAAAGTACTCCTAACATCAATTGGTTACCTGTATAAAAGACACCTGTCCACAGAATCAACCAATCAGATTCCAACCTCTCCACCATGGGCCAGACTAAAGAGCTGTCTAAGGACCTCAGGGACCAGACTGTAGACCTGCACCAGGCTGGGATCGGCTACAAGACCATCAGAGAGCAGCTTGGAGAGAAGGAGACCACTGTTGGTGCCATTATTCAGGACTGGAAGAAAGACTAAATGAGCATCAGTCGCCCTCGCGAGGGCTGGGGCTCCACACAAGATCTGGCCCCGTGGGGTTTGATGATCATGAGAAAGGTGAGGGGTCAGAACTACACGGAGGAACTTGCTAATGATCTCAAGGAAGCTGGGACCACAGTCACCAAGAACACTATTGGTAACACACTACACCATAATGGATCAAACCCTGCAGCGCCTGAAGGCCCCCTGCTAAAGAACAACATGAGAGGTCGTCTGAAGTTTGACAACGAACATCTGAATATTCAGAGAAGGCTTGGGAGGAGAGGATGTGGTCAGATGAGACCAACATCGAGATCTTTGGCATCAACTGGACACGCCGTGTTGGAGGAAGAGAGATGCTGAGTATCACCCCAGAACACCATCCGTCAGCATGGAGGTGGAAACATTCTGCTTTGGGGTGTTTCTCTGCTAAGGGGACAGGACCACTTCCCTGCATCAAGGAGACGATGGACGGGGCCATGTACCCTAACATCTTGGCCGATAGCCTCCTTCCCTCAGCCAGGACTCTGAACATGGGTCATGGAGGGGTCTTCCAGCAGGACAATGACCCTGAGCATACGGCCAAGGCAACACAGGAGGGGCTAAAGAAGAAGCACATTCAGGTGAGGGAGGGGCCTAGCCAGTCTCCGGACCTTAATCCCATAGAACATCTGTGGAGGGAGCTGAAGCTTCCAGAGGCCAAGCATCAGCCTCAAAACCTGCAGGGTTTGGAGAGGGTCTTCAGAGAGGAGTGGACCAACATCCTTCCTGAGATGTGCGTACCTGGAGACCAGCTTCAAGAAGGGTCTGACCTCTGTGTGTCCAACAAGGGTTTCTCCACCAAGTACTAACACATGTTCTGCAAGGGGATCAAATACTTATTTCCTAAAGTCAAATGCAAATATATTTGTATCTTTCATATAATGTCCATTTCTGGATGTTCTTTTTGATATTCTTACTCTATTCAAATAAACCTACCATTACAATGACAGACTGTTCATTTCTTTGTAAGTGGGCAAACTAACACAATTCCTCCACTGTACATGGGATTTGCAGTTTTAGTACAGGGTTGTGTGGTGTTAGTACAGGGTTGTGTTAACAGTATGTGTATATATATATATACATATATATATATATATATATATATATATATATATATATATATATATATATATGGAAGTGAGACACACAACACCTCATCATTTTGTAGAAAGAATCACAAATTATTTCCCAAAACCAAAGAGGAATGAACTCTCACGAGAGCCATGATACCCTCATTTCACACCAATGAAAAGCTTAGGAAGTGAGTCAGAGAGAGAGGGTGGCCGGGCCCAATCCCAAATCACCCCCTACACCCTACACACTCCCCCTCCGTTTGCGCGTTCGCGCGGAGGGTCTGCCATATTAAGTGCTGTTACAAACCAACGAGTGTGGAGCGGTGTGGAGGGGGAGTGGGCTATCAAGCCCTCAAACACCGAGTCTGCAGCGGTGCTGACTTGAGACCGGTCTCTACCTGACCGGTCTCAACGCTGTGTGTGTCCGTCAGGATGTTTGTAGTTTTATTTGAGTTATTAATTTACACTTTTTGTCTAAGAGATGCTGATTTGAAACCGTTGTTACATACAGTTACGGCATTTCCTGTTTCTGCCGGAGAGAGGGGAGGCCGTCCCAAAGCTTGCTGCTGTATTTACTCCCTCCATCTGAAAGGAGGGAGCCGCATGTGTCACTCCACGGAGTTCCCTCCGTCACGGAGGGGGAGTGTGTAGGGGTAGGGTGTAGGGCGTGGTTTGGGATTGGGCCGGAGTGTGTGTGTGTGTGTGTGTGTGTGTGTCCTACACCCTACCCTCTGCACGAACGCGCAAACGGAGGGGTAGTGTGTAGGGGTAGGGTGTTTCATTTCATTTCAAACCTTTATTTATACAGATAAATCCCATTGAGATCATTGATCTCTTTTTCAAGGGAGACCTGCTCAAGTAGTTCCACATGAAACATAAAAACATAAATAGAACAACAAAAGGACATCATACAGCATCATTTACATAATTATCCACATAAACAGTTACCAATAGCTTCCGATTGAGTAGCATCCAACCGAGCTTTAAAAACATTTAGTGGCACCAGATTGTTCAGTTTCCATTTAATTTGCAGACTATTCCAAGACAGAGGAGCTGCGCATCTAAAAGCTGTCTTCCCTAAGACAGTCCTAGCAGTTGGCACATTTAATAAAACCACAGCATTCGATCTCAGGCAGTAGCCACTTACAATTTTCCGTGAGATCAGGGAGCAGATATAAGATGGAAGTTTCCCTAACATGGCTTTGTATATAAAAATGTACCAGTGACTGAGCCTCCGTACAGTTAGTGAAAGCAAACCAGCCCTTGCATACAGGGTACAGTGATGGGTTAATGCTTTACAGTTTGTCACACATCTCAGTGCACTGTGATACGCAGCATCTAACTTGACCAGGCAATTGGCAGGTGCATTCATATACATCAAATCACCATAGTCCAGCACAGGTAAAAAGGTCACAGTGACTAGCCTTTTCCTGGCCTCAAGGTGTGTAGGGTTCCTGGTGTAGGGGGCGGTTTGGGATTGGGCCGAAGTCAGCACCGATGCAGACTCGGGGTGTTTCTCAATGTCGAGGAAGGCTCCTTCAGAGCCACTATTTCAAGGATGCTACGTCATCGAGTCCCGCCGAAGGACTGTTCCAATTTCCAGGATCCTTGGAATTCTACCGAGGTCGGCGTCCTTCGTTTTGGGAAATGTCGAGGCTGCACATGTGTATCCTCCACGGTCTTAAAATCCCCACAATGCTTTGCGCACGGACCAATTTCAAAAATCTTTGGCGGAAATCGCGCTCCATTAAAGGCGGGGCCTTAATATATGACGCACACCTGTTCCACCATTCTTCGTTTTCCGAAGGAAGGATTTTTGCCTCGCTTCTGAAGGACCTGACTTGGAAGACATGTCCTCGACATTGAGAAACACCCTCGCTGTTTGAGGGCTTGATGGCCCACACTCGTTGGTTTGGAACAGCACTTAATGTGGCGGACCCTCCGCGCGAACGGAGGGTAGTGTGTAGGGGTAGGGTGTAGGGTGTAGGGTGTGGTTTGGGATTGGGCCACAGTGTCTGCAGGCCAAGGTAGAGCAGCAGTAAAACTTGCTGCAGCTGAAGCCAGCAGGAAACATCTGGCTTCATTTGGTTTCAGTTCTGATGAAAAGCCAGCCAGAGGAGAGCAGCTGTTTTTTCTTGCCTAGGAAATCAGTGTTAGGTAAGAGCCTGCCCATAGATCTGCCTTGTGCTTACTGTTGACAAAAACAAATATGCACAGCGCCGGAAAGCGCAAGTCCAGACCTTTTTAGGTCCCTGACTTTAACCTCATTCTAAGCATAAACCATCAGTAGCTGAAACTTTAATGAAGGAAACCAAAAACAATGTTTGCAAATGCTTTATCATGCAGCACCTCACGCACTTTTATTCTGAGACAGGATTTTTTAAATAAGCATATATTTAAGACATTTATTTTGCTAAAGTTTTTATCGTTTGTATTGTACCTGTTAAGCCCCAAAGCCCCCCTCGGCGGAGAAACGACACTGTGTGCGGTACGGGAATAATCTCAGCTAACTGACGATACAAACCATTTTTACCAAAACAAAACACAAGTCTCATAAGAAGCATCTAAATGACCCCCGAGCGAAAAATGCTAACGCACTTTGGCACAGAACTCAAGATAAAAGATACCCTTATCAGCTGCACATACAAGATATCCGATTAAAGCTGAGGTTCCACAGACTATTTAGGAATATAGTATCATCACTGAGTGATCCGAACTATTGACAGGGGAAGCAAACACAGACATCACAACTTTACGGAGCTTTTACGGGAGATCGTCTCACCGTAGCTGTCAATCTGATCAAAAGACGTGTTCAATGGCATTAAAACGAGAAAAAACGCGGCTGAATCGGTTAATCCATAGGTTGATAATGTTTCTGTGGATTTGAAAAAATTATTTATAATCCATAATTCCATTTTTATGTAAAAATCGGAGAGTAAAAGTTAGCTGCTAATGGTAGCCACCAGAGTTATCTCCGATTTTGGCTATGCATCAATCTCACACACACACATTACCAAATAAGGAGTATGTGGG